GTCTACAAATGTGCATTGTTCGTTATACGAAATCAACTACTGCGAGTGATTTCCTACGAAATCAGCTACTGGCGTCTGATTTCGTTACGAAATCAGCTACTGCCGAGAGATTTTCGCGTCACGAAATCAGCTACTGGCGAGTGAATGAGTTTGTAATCGAAAATCTATAGGGCGCCAAGTGTAGCATGGGGGTACGTCGTGTTACGTCCATGTACCCGCGTGTACGTTCGTGCACGTGCGTGTACGTGCGTGTATCTCGTGTACCCGGCGTGTACGTGCGTGTACCCGGCGTGTATCTCCGTGTACGTGCGTGTACCCGGGTGTATCTCCGTGTACCCGCGTGTACGTGCGTGTACCCGGGTGTATCTCCGTGTACGTGCTGCCTACCGGGTGTATCTCCGTGTAACGTGCATGTAAAACGCGGGTGTAAATCTCTGTCGTGTTGCTGTAGCGTGTACTCGCGTAGACTGCCATGTACATCGTACCGCGTGTATTCTCCGTGACAGTGAATCTCCATCTCCGTAATATGATGTGTAATCGCTCCATTGCCTAACGTGTAACTTGCAACACTTAATTTAAAATTGAAAAAATAATTGATTCTCATTTAGGAATCTAAATAAAAACTACTGGATGGTACGACAGTCCGGTACTGGTCGCACTGCCGCTTGATGAGGATGATGAAGAATGTATCATTCTGAATTAAAGTTAGATGAACAATACAAGTATATGTATCATTACAATTACCCATTATGTGTCAATGAAATATTCTATACTATAGCCAATCAAACCTATATATCCATCTTGCAATTGCTACAAATAGCAATTTCTTGTACAATTAGAATCGTCAGGAAAGCTAATCTATTATTACGGGAACTCACGAAAGGTGGTCGCTATCGCACACCAAAAAGTTTATCGGGCATATTGGCGATTGACAAGTCCCGGTAACTTTTTTAGTGTTAATTGGGGTACGTTACGCAGTCGCGACCGCCGCTGCAGGCAAGTTACGTCAACTGGCTCGAGGTGTGGCGTATATTATAGTTCTTAATCCTCACTTCCAATAAAGATGTAAATTTTTCTGAAAACAGTAGTTTTTAGTCAATACGGGCAATTATCTCAAAGGATTAAACACAGCACAATATATTGATATAAAAGAAAATTGTGTGCTTCTAAGGCAAAATGGTGTAGCGGCAGAATTTGGATGTCGGGGAGTGGTCCTCGTCGGAGCGAGTAAAGCAGGGGTCTAAATTATTTTTTGAGATAAGATGGTAAAAATAAGTGCTTTATAATCAATTGATTTGCAATTTTGAATTGTGGAGGTCCTAGGGCCCAGGACCCCCCCCCTGGCTACAGTGCTTGCTTCTTAACGTAAAGCATACGATATATATACACATAATACCATATAATATGAAAGCCCTAAAGAGATCCCCTAGCTATTATATTACTCCCTGATAAATTAATTGCACATCTAGTCAAACCATAGGAAAGAATAAAAACCTTGTTGAGTTCCTGCAGCATTGCGTATGGGCTGCCTTGGTTATTGCGTCCTTCGACCGGCAGACGATCACTTTCCAGTCCAATCTGTCGCTCCCTGAACTCTCTTCAAATGCCTTCGCCCCGAGGCATCTCTGCTCATGCTAACGCCGACATTTATCTATGCCATAGAAAGTAATCTTCAATGAATACGAATGCCATACCATCACTATTATTAGACTAGATCTGTAACAATAACAACATAATGGACCAGAGAGAGTCAGTAATAGCCTTCTATTTTAAATGACATCACCTTAACATAGGTCTTTCTTTACACCTTTTCGCTTTGATGGGAAGTGCTGTATCTTCTATTTTTCATCTGCTCTCTTTGTGAGCAAGCAAACACTGCAAACACGGTATATAAATTATTGCAACCATCTGTTATTTAAACAATACTTTTGTAAATGTGTTTTCTCGTTAATAATAAACACGCTGCAATGGATTAATTACGAGCATACATATATATTTTATGTTGCTTGTTCATTCCTTTTATGCGCAAGTGCCACAAATTTATAAACTGGAAATAAATATTCTGATAATAAGACGTACACGTTTGGCAAACTATTGCACAGCAAACACTGATGCACACATTTATCGTAACTTCTTGTCATCAAGTCTGCTAAAAACCACATTAAACCTAATTTATGACACACTTTAACATTCACGCATCCAGTGACTCTAGTGCGAATGCTAGTCAGATCAGGTTCCCAGCGTTGTTCTAGACCTAGTGGAGGCTCTAGTTCTAGTGGAAAACATTAAAGTATTGTTATATAGCGCGTGGCAAACTCCAGTATAATACAGTAGAAGCATTCCTAGACGATTAAGTTATAGCCAATATTGGCACAATTTGGGCAAGTGCCAAATTTATACTGGAAATTATTATCTGATAATAGATGTAACACGTTTGCAAAACTAATTGCCACAGCAAACACTGATGCACACATTTATCGTAAGCTTCTTCATCAAAGTCTGGCTAAATACCTTTAACCTAATTATGACACAACTTTAAGCTTCCCTCAGTGACTCTCCTGACATGCTAGTCAGGATCCGGTTCCAGGCGCTCTGTGTCCTATGAACCTAGTTGGCGCTCCTAGGTTCTAGGGAAACATCAAAGTATCTGCCTTTATTACGGCGTGCAAAACTCCGGCAGTATAATACATGCCTATTAAGCATCCACTGACGATTAAGTTATACAGCCAAATTTGGCGTTAACATAAAACGTTTTCAGCAAAAATAATCTCGTAACTGAATGACCAGCCGACGCACTCAGCATACGTTGCCTGACGTGTTCTTTCTATAAATAAAGGAAATTGTCAGCCTATTAGAATGTGAAACGCTAACACCACCACAGACAGGTACCAGACCTACCCTCTTCATACCCAACAATTTCAATCAGCGCACTAGTTATGTTTCTGTCTACCAGGAGAAAATAGATAACTTTGTTAAGAATAAGCCCCCGTTTTTAATTATACAGAGAGGGTAGGTTTGTATTTGATAGGCCCAATATCTACGGTTTTCGACACCGCGCAGCTTAATTTTACCCCACACAAGTTTTACCGTGTAGCATGAACACGTCGCATTACCAGCTTATCTCACAAAGGAGCACACACATTAACTCCTCGCATCAACAACTGGGAGCAAAAAGGTAAAAAAAAAACTTGGGCAATCAAAGCAAAGCCACGCGTACATCTTCACGTTGTTTCTCTTAGCGGTTATATGCAGTTATAACAGCATGGTCTCACCAGCCAATTCTGTGCGCTGTCTGCGCACACGAGGTCAAAATACCAATCTCATCGGCCGTACTTCCCGTCCACATGGTGCAGGATCATTGGGTTATATTTTGTTACGTTCCTGAGAATAATATGAAGAATCTTACTACTTAAAGCTGACTATGCCTTATATGCATTGAGCAGTCCGCCGCCACGCACTGCTATAAATACTTGATAACAATCGCCTCGAATTCATTTTTAATACGAATTTAGAAACAACGATAGTACATCATTCTATGTAGTGATGTAATAGCTTGTTCAATTTCAAGGTAGATCTATAACTGTACTTTAGTATATCAAGGCTTTTGGTGGTGAACTAGAATTGTAACAGGCTGTATCAGTATCGCTACATAACTATTATATAGGCCCTAATATAGTTTACCACTGACCGTATCATGCCCATTTCCTTAATTACATCGTCGCACGCAGAGAATGATTTATTTTCGCACTCCGTATATAGTTAGTCAGCGTGCCCTTAATAGCTTCGCCAAGCAAATTTGGGTATGAGTCAAGTTGACTACCATTTACCGCGCGCATACATACTTAAACCACAGCGCATATTTGATTTCGTTACGAAATCATTGATTTCGTAACGAAATCAGTCATGCGACACTTGGCGCCCCATATGCGAATACCACTCGCGTTCATTTGACATACGGTCAGACCAGTACGATCAGCTACAATACAGTGTGCTGGGTGACGCACATGCGCAGGAGAGGCTTCTGATGTCAGGCGCACGTCGAGCGGAAACCGTGATAGGGTTCATTTAAAATAAATTTAACAATCAACTTTGTTGTATTTATTTTATATTCTAGATCCACAACGCACCATACAGGACATTAGCATGTGAGTTTGTAATGTTAATTTGGGCTCATTATAATTGACATTGCTTGTAATGTTTCACTGTCTGAACTGCACAATGAGCTTTATCTACATAATATCTACAAAAGAAATTCACATTAAGTTTACTTAATTAGGGGGCCTACATTAACTTCAGGATACTAAGTTTTATTAAAAATTAATGAAGAAAAACGCCATAGCATTACTGACATTACTATTTAAACATGTTGACGGGTTATTTACACAAGACAAAATATTTTCTGTATGTGATTTGTTTCAGAAAATCTATATTATACACATAAATATACAATAAATATATATGACCTTTCTTTACTTGCGGCACTTCTGTGTGTTGTAGGTCCCTTATTAACAGGAACAAATGTGTGTGGTAATGTCCCTTCGATAAAGTAATTGAAATATGAACTAATACTAATAATTTTAGCACAGCTTTGGGAAGAAATGGTAGTTTCATAGGAGTATATTGGGATTTTATGTTAATGTTATCTGTGTATATAATTTATGGTATAACATTAACAATGTGAATCTAGGATGGTCACAAGCTTTGGTTTGTAGAGGTTGCGTTAATTAACAGTTTTATTGTATTTTTCACAAATCTAGTGATGACGATGACGATGATAAGGACTCGGATGTGCAGCGGCTGGCTGCACAAGGTAAGTTTTACCAATTCAGCGACAAGGTTAATATAACCATCCTCCATGGATCTCTCACAAAATCTATTGGTATTTTGCCACACCAATTCTATGACTACATATAATAACTTTTCCTATTGACAGACTATGAGAAAGTCAAGGAAAAGGGAGAGGAGGAAGAGGACAACGCCAACGAAGAGGGGGAGGATGAGGAGGAGCTGTAAATATAGAAATTGTATGACGGCATGCACTCTGACCTGTAGAATTAAAGGACAACTTTAGTGCCAAAATTGAATTTGGTCAATGCTCTTAGAAATAATTATCAATGTAAAAGTGAAAACTAAATTTAAATTTTGTGCGTGGTTAGCTAGCAGGACCTCATTAAAGTCGAAATCATGATGTCACAGGCCAACTGGCACTCTATATTTAAATTTGAATTTCACTGAATGTTACTGAAATTTATGAGGCTTTGATGAGGAAATGTGATTTGAGTTCTCAGCTAGTTTTGTGTACCAGTTTACAATTATCCAAATGCCGGCATGAAAGGAAAATTTGTCCACGTTTAGGCTTCTCTGACTAGTATTAGATGTAATAATAGTTTCAACTGGAGACCCAGAAACTTTTATATATTTTTTTCAATTCACTAGGTTGACCATGCGCCTCTGACTGAAGAAGGAGTTAGTGGTGTGACAGGAGAACAAGTTGACGGGCTTCAGTATTTGATAGAGAATGACTGCCTTTGTGTGGCAACAGTTCAGGGCAACATCATCCTCTACCACAAAAAAGTGTGTCATCCATATTCACACAATATTATATATTATATTCATTATATATCATATATATATATATATATTATATATCATATTCACACATATATCGTGAACATTTGACATGTGTACACTAGTATACAATGTTTGTGTTTTACATTATAACCTACTGCATTTATGTTTATGTTCTGCTACAGTTCTGTTCCTACACGTTTATATGTATCTCTGGCAAGAGTTGTGGATTTTCGAATTGATTAAATTGAGGAAAGATCAATGTGTATTTCAAGTATGTTGTATGTGTTATTTTAGGTGGAGGTCGTTGGAAGTATTAACACTGCAATCAGAGCAATAACACACAATGTGTGTGTGTGTGTGTACAGCATATATTTATATTTTGTCATATACAATTTGTTATCTATAGCTATGTGTTATTATCTATAACTGATATGTCTTAATCTCAACAGTAAATATATTCATGCTATTAAATTGTATTGTGTTGAAATGTATTGAATTGATTTGTATTTGGTTTTGTATTGAATAAATTGTGATGTTATTCATTATTAATACATTATTTATGAAATGTATATCATTTTAGTATATATTGTTATAATTAGACTACTGTTAACATAAACTTTCCCTTGTTGCAGTAACTAATTAAAAATAAATAAATCGTGTGCTGTAGTAAACTGACGCAGAAAAGGGCTATGTACCCCAGGGTACAGCCGGAACGTACCCTGGTAACTATCTGATAGGGTTAGGGAGTAGGCGTAGGCGACTCCCTAGACTCGTTAGTGGAGTAGGCGAGGCACGGTAGGCGAGGTAGATACCAGACCTAAACTGACGTTTGTTCGTTCGTTCCCAAGCCAAAAACGTTCGTAGCTCAAAATCCTGTAGCGGCCCTAGAGGTTGGCCACACTGGACTTTCACACTTGCTGCGGCTAGCACGTTAAATTTATTTGTGTCGGTATCATTTTCCGCTCCTACCGTGAAGGTAGGACGGTGATGCAGTAGCAAGAAAAACCCACAGTGAAATGAACGCAAATCCTTAGATAGTCTTTATAAAACGGATGGTTTTATTCATTGTTTACGAATAACATGAATCACGTTCACTCTACGCATCTCAAATATAGCGTAGATATATATATATATATATATTTATTTACTCATGTCACGTTTACGGTACCTCGTTAGGTTATTACACGTTTAACTTAACTCTTAGCTATTCTACGGTTAATATTGTAGCCGTATCTGTCTCTCCCCGGCTCGGCGCCAGTTCGTGGGTTGGCAGTGTGTCTCCCTGTCGTGTGTAGGCTATAGCTCTGCGCCCCTCCCTCAGTATAGGATATACCTTCTCGGCCATCGTCCTGCTCGTGGGTGGCTCTCCCACCGACGGTGTGTGTACGCTCGCTCGAGCGTGATCGTTCGTTCGTTCGTTCGTTCCTAAGCCAAAAATCCTGTAGTGGCCCTAGGAGTGGCCACCCTAGACTTTCACACGTGCTGTGGTTAGCACGTGTAATTTATTTGTGTCGGGATCATTTTCCGCTCCTACCGTGAAGGGTAACCCCATAAACCCCATAAAATACAGATTTTGACATTGATAATTATTTTTAAGGGCATTGACCAAATTTAATTTTGGCACTCAAGTTGTCCTTTAATTCTACAGGTCATAATGCATGCCGTCATACAATTTGCATATATAGGGCCTACAGCTTCTTTTCCTCCTCATACTCCCACTCCTCGTTGTCGTCGTCCTCCTACTCTTCTTTCTCCTTATCTAAACGTCAGCGTCTTCACTGCCGGGCTCATCATAGCCTGTCAATGCGAGAAGTTCAATAGTTGTAGAAACGTTGCGACAAAAAGCACCAGTAGATTCGGTGTGTTAATATCCGTGAACGATTACTCATCTTGCCGCTGAACTTGTGAAACTTACCTTGTGCGGGCTGTGGTTCTAGCAATAGCAGATCGTCAGGGTCTTCCCCGCTGTAGGGCTCATACTTGTGACACTTTCGCTGGATTTGTGAAAAGATATTGAAACTGTTTATACACCTCTACAAATCAAAGTTTGCGACCATCTCAGATCCACAGTGTTAAAGCCGCACAATGCGCATACAAACGCTAATTTCTCCAGTACTAGACTAGCAAATACTTCGTGTCATGCATAATCACACTACCTTATGACAAAATAAACTCTAGTTCCTCCTATTTCACTGCGCGTTGTCTTATAAAAGGTATTTGAAAATACCTCCAATGTTGTTCAAATTCTCTGATGTTGTTGACAGTTTTGCGTTGCTGTCCCAAGCAACCGTGCAGCGGTGCTGCGGTACAGCGGCAGGGCCGTATCCAGAGGTTGGGCAGAGGGGGGTTACAAAATGGCAATGCGGAGCTTTGCCCCAAGCCGCGAAGCGGTGAGTGGGGGGAGAGTCCGGCCAATTTTTTTGGGGGTTTTTAACATGCTTAGATGCTATTTCCTAGCATCTAGTTCACTTCAATTGTTTGTTGAATTCATACAAAAGACAGTGTATATCACAATAACATTAATCAAATAAAATGAGATTTGTAACAAACTCGTCTCTGGTGTTGGGGTTATGACCGGATTATGACCGGACCTAATTATCTCCATGGTGTGATCCATCCAATCTAGATACTAGGATGATGACCTGTGATTCTTTGAAATTATAGTGTTAACTAAAACTGTTACAGTAGTAGAGTGTTTCAGTAGTTTACAAACCATCAATGAGTCTTTATCTTAAAAAAGGTTATAATTACATTTTAATGGTGCAACAATAATTATTGTCATGATGTGTTTAACCTTGAGACAATGATAATATCTCCTGAAGTTTTAAGGCCAACTGAATATTATGTTGCATGCATATTATAGTTAACGCGTGTCCTAGTTGTTTGGATTCAGTGTTCGCTCCTGCCGGTATATTAGGCAGGACGGTGATGTCACGTAGCGAATAACAGGTAGCACCAGCTGAACAGAACACAGTGAGCTTCGGTTAACTGTACGGTTATAGCTTTATTGATTCCTACTAGTTCACAAATAGTTCCCCTGCATTCGTATATGCAGTGGATCCGATCACCACTAGATTAATATTGAAGAAGTAACACGTCGCCGGCCTCGTCTTCCTCTCTCACGTTCGTCCTCTCCTCGCGTAGACCTAGGCAGTCTCCAAGGGGTCTCCCTCTTAGTCGCCCCTGGCTCTACCTAACCGGAATCCCGTTTTCTCCGTTCTCGTTAAATCCCCCTCTCCCGTTCGTCTCCGGTTTGCACCTACCTGAAAACCTGCGCCTCTATCCTCTCGCTCTACAATGCTTCCGCTCCCTCTCTCTTCTTCTTTTTCCTTCTCCTTCCTCTTGCTACCTAGCCCTGAAAAATAACGCTCTCTTCCTCTTTCTCTTCGTCCTCGGCTGCTTCTTCTTCTCCTTCTTCTTCTTCCTAAACCTAACCTGAAAAATAACGCGCTCTTATATGCTCGAATTCCTTCTTCTCCTTCCTTCTCTTCTTCTTCCTACCTATACCTAACCTGAAAAATAACACTCCCATGCACTGCTCGGTTCGGTGCGCCTTATATACCTAGCTGGCACGCAGATTTCATTCGCTGGTGCAATCGTACGTTTCACCTGCTGATGCAACCCGTGGCTGGTACGACAATTGCATCATCTTATGCAACTCGTTTCTGAGTAAATATTCCTCTCTTCGACAACCTAGACTATTCATTCTATTCAAATCTCCTCATATATTATGCTGACTAATAATACATAACCGCGTTGATTATCATACTCTATATATATATCGCGTTATCGCTTTTCGCGTAAACAATCCTTGTTTTTCCCGACCATAGCAGTAGCAGTGATGGCATGATCCAAGATGGCTGCGCTCATGAACGTGCGTGTTAACATATTTATGTGCGATCTATATTTCATCCTCTCTTTAGTCGTAGTAATGGGGATTCTCTCCTGTTGAGGGGAGTATTATCTACTCTTACTCCCCTCAATAAAAGTTAAGGAGAGTAAGAGTAGAATTGGAAGACAAAGGCGTATCCGAGGGCGGATACTAATAGATGTTGGGGGGAGTTGTAGAAATTTCGGGGGTGTGTAACTCACAGGAGCAGTAGACTAGATCAGGGTGGATAGATTGAACTCACAGTATAGATGGAATAACCTTATATTGACTAAAGAGAGGATAAAATATAGACAGCACATAAATATATCAACACGCACGTCCATGGGCGCAGCCATCTTGGATCATGCCATCACTGCTGCTGCTATGGTCGGGGAAAACAAGGAGTGTTTACTCGAAAAGCGATAACGCAATATATATATAGTATAATGATCAACGGGGTTTATGTAGACCTACTATTAATCAGTATAATATATGAGAAGATTTGAATAGAATGAATAGTCTAAGTTGTCGGAGAGAGGAATATGTACTTAGAAACCAGAGAGACCGGGTACAAGGTGGCGTTGCTGCTTTATTATTAAGTTTTCGTTTTAATTCCCGCCGACCGCGAGAGGCGGTTAAGCACCTGCGCGACTTCCGCGGGAACTGGGCGGCACTGCAGAACCGCGTGTGTTGTATATAGCATCTCGCGCTGCCCGCTATACTAATTCGCGACGCCCGGAAGAGGGCGGGCAGCTGCGAAATACGTATAGGTAACATCGCGCCAGTTTTTCGTCACACAGACCGCACACGGCTCGGACTAGGCGCCTTGCTGGGGCATTTGCTGCTGCTGGCTGGGAGAGCGCGCTGCGCGGCAGGGGGCGAGTTTTTGTTGCTGTGCTGCTGCGTTTGCGCATATCTACTTAAGCTAACGTGTAAAAACTGGCACGTGCCACGCCATCCTACGTCTCGCTATTCGCGAACCGCCGACGCCAGCAGCAGGTGCTTCGCACGAACGTGTCCGTCGCCACGGGCAGCCGCGCGGTCATAGGTTGGTAAAACCTCGCATGTACCAGTCAGTGTGCCGGCACGGCGTCAGCACTTTCGGAGATAGCATCTAGGCCCCGCCACCCCACGTGGAGCGCCGTACGACACTTCGTAAAAAGCTCTGTGATAGACATAACACTATACTCGGCAGTAGCGCCTGTCATCGCGTAGCGGCCAATGAGCGAGCGCGTCATCGTTGATTGACAGCATTTCTGGAATTTTCTTGTAGGAGCCACTACGTCTTAGCCATGAGGCGCGCCACTCCAAAAAACCAGGTCCAGTTTTCGCGGAGTGCGTTTTCAGACCCCTGTCTAAGGTATCTGTCTAAGTGGACAAAAAGGGGGCGGCGTATTCGCTGTTATGGCGCGGCTTTGCCGCGCGCTGTGCGCTGCGCGCAAAAACCGGGGCCGCAAGTCCGTCGAGTTGCATAAGATGATGTAATCATTGTACCAGCCACGGGTTGCATTAGCAGGTGAAACGTACGATTGCACCAGCGAACGAAATCTGCGTGCCAGCTAGGTATATAAGGCGCGCCGAATCGTAGAGCAAGAGCGTTATTTTTCAGGCTAGGTAGGAAGAAGAAGAAGAAGAGGCAGAAGAAACAGAAGAAGAAGAGAAAGAGGACGAGAGTGTT